CTCACCGTCGGAAGAGGAAGCACGGGCTGGGGAAGTCTGTACGGGAGAAAGTGGCGAGAGGGGATATGGAAAGGAAAGGAAGGGTGGAGGAGGTGGAGGAGGTGGAGGGAGAGGTGCAGAGGGAGAGGGTGACGTCTATGGTGGATGCTGCTATAGGATATCTGGGATTTAGGTAGGGGTGTGAGAGGCGAGGGGTGGATGTGTGGGTAAGGCGGAAGGGGAGAAATGGAGATTAAATGGCAAGAGTGGAGGGAAGGAGGAAGGTGCTGTTGGATGTGTAGTATGGTGATGGGGGATGGGGATGGAATGCTGAAGTTTTGGAGCTTTGTGGCGAGAAATATGATCCGAGATTTGTTAGTTTTGAGCAGCCCCATTTTTATTGGAGAGCAAGGAAAGCTTGTGATGGAGAGGGAGAGAGTTCAAAACTTAAACTGATTTGTCTTCTCCTAATGCAGCCTTTCACAAAGACTTGATGTGAATATAGCTAGATAGTAAGCGATATATGAGGGGGCATTTGGGGAGTGAGGTGAGATCAGGCGATTCATGCTATGGTGTATCAAGATAAAAAATTGCAGCTTGTTGTGGAGACCTGAAGGAAGTGTCAAATAGCATGTTGCTCCTAAACTCGACAAGAAATACTGACACGCAGATACCCTCAAAGTGATTTTGAGGGTTCGTAATGCAATGACCGGTCGAACGCAGGTCTAACCATCCTTCACTCCTTCCACTTGCAAACAATGAAGCAGAAGACATAGGCCAGAAAACAAACTCATCACCCACCAACCATTGCCCAACAGCTCGAACCCTCTAAACCCACCCCCAATTACCATCCCCCACCATATCACCATCGACCCTCCACCCAAAGGCCAACAAACACCCCAGCCCACACTCACTTCCTCATAGCCTTCATCGCCTCCTCGTAATCCTCCTGTTCACGATCCCTAAATGCCTTCAGAATAGCCTTTCCCTTCTCATAATCCTCATCGACGCAAATCTTCAATTCATACGAGAGCATGAAGTCGTACATGCTCCTCCAGCCAGCGTCTTTGAGCCATCGGGAGTTGGACTTGTCTGCTGGGTCGGAGGGGACGGTTGCGGGTTTGTCGTTGTTGTTACCATCGGTGGAGCTAGATTCTGATGGCTTGGTGGAAGAGGTGGTGTCGTTTGGTTTGGATGCCATTTTGTTTTTGGGCTTTTGAGATAACTCTGAAGCCGGGGTTTCTCTCCATTTCCTTTCTGCTTGGGTGGTGATGCTTAGTTGTTGCTGGCTACGAATTTCGGATTTGGTGGAGGAGAATTGGATCCAATTTATACTTTAATCGTTTCACCAAGAGTTCCTAGGTGGTCAGATGTGCTCAATTGATCGGAAAGAGCAATCGCTCGTTGTGGCAGTCGCCATCTTGTCAGCAAAATGACCCCAACGCACCGAGAATCCTTGGGAGATACCTACACAGACTTTCTTTTAATTCTATCCCCTGTGTATTCGCAATCATCATAGTTTTCACCGTCTTCGGTTTCATCCGTCCTGCTGCTGATGAAGATTCCATCCTCCTGATTTTCTTGGCCACGTTAATCGTCTTCGTGCTCGTCGGTATGATCATCATGCAGGTCATTATGGCAGGAAATCCAACAGGAAACTCAAAGGGTACCACTACTTTGACATTCTAGTGGGAGGAAACGCTAGGAGAGAGATATGGGTATGTAAACATGCACTCGTTCGCTTGGAAGCGCGAGTCAACAAAGCGTGAAGTTCCCGTGATCCCAGGCCCAAAAAGAATTCCACAACAAACAAACTCCATATATTTTCGTCATAAATCATAGACACTATCTATTATCAATACATATCTCCCACCTCATCTCATAACATCATCATCAATCACGAGCAAACATTCAACCTTGCAACACTAGGATCATGGTCACTCTTCTGATCGGCCAACGTGCTCCAAGTATTAACATGGACATGCTCAAACGCCGCTCCGAGGATGAGCGCCGGGCTGACAAACATATGATCGATCTCCTGACAGTTCATATCAAAGAGGTACGTGTACCGCTCGGTTGAGGGGGTGAGCGTCACGTCATCGAGATCGAGAAGGTGAGAGACGGATTTAAATGTCTCGATGGGCTCGACGAATGTGAATTCGTTGAAATCGCCGGCGACGATGATCTTGGCGAAGGGGTTCTGTTTGAGTATTTGTGCTACGAATGTCTGGTGTTTTCGGTTAGTCAGGGGGTCTCTTCTCCTTTGAGGGAGGGCTAGAGGGAAGACGTACTGCTGTGACGTTTGCTTGAGCGGATCGATCCGCGACACCTCCATTGACGGGAGGACGAGCATCTCCCACCAAAGGACTGCTACCTCCTTTACTACCCTGATGCAAGTTCACTGTGAAGAACTTGTTCTTCCCGTCGAGAGTCTCCCACGCAGCAGCCAATGGTTTACGGCTTGCTGTGAATGCGACGTTTGAGGGCTCGATACGACCTGGGTTGAATTTGAGCTCTGGGCCTGGGAGGACCTCGTTGGCATCGAGGGGTCCGCCGAGGTTAGGTTTGCGGAGTCGTAAGACATTGGGCTTGTACAGGTAGGCTTGACGGATGTTTCCGCCCGGCTCGCCACCGTCGAGGAGGTTGACGGGTAGGACTTCGGTGAATGCGTATTGGACGCCGGAGATGTTGTAAATAGCGTTCACGAGGGTGGTGAGAGTCAGATTTGCGGTGACAACTTTGAAGATTTAGTACGTGAATCTAAGGAAAGGAAATGGGGGAGAAAATACCTCCGTTGTTGGTCGCTCCATTGTCATCTTGAATTTCTTGGATGAACATCAGATCTGGTGTCTTCAAGTAAGTCGCGATGTGGTCAGCGATCGATGGAAGCCAGGCCGATTTTGGCGTCAAGTTCTCCACATTGTAATCACCAACTGTGAGCTGCTTGCAGGTCCCAGAAGAAGTGAGAGTAGTTGGTGGCGGGGCAGCTGGCGAAGCTGATGCGAGTACCTTCACAGCAGTTTGGGGATAGATACTGTAGTATCCGAACGCATAAGTGATGACACCAGTGATTTCTTCCAAGGTATCACCGAGCTTGACGGTCGTTGGGTTTTTGGTCCCGTCAAGAGGGTCGATGACAACAATTGCCTCTGGGTTGGAATCTAAAATTCCAATTAGAAAATCCTCAAAGCTTGAGGATTATCATACCTCTGTCTCTCATGGTCAAACCACCACGCTTGTTCTTGCCCGAAGTTCTCCATGATCCAGCGATCCACACATTGGCGAATCTGTTAGACTTGGTGATTGCAACTGGGAGTTTCACGGTCACGAGTTCTCCAGTCAAGCTCTCCCAGAAATCCATGCCATAAATGAGAGGTTGAAGAGTTGGGTTTGCGACAGAAACCAAGCTCTGGTTGTTTGGGAGGGAGTAGACATCCCAGTTGTCGAGGGATGTGAATTGCTCGGTTGGTGGGTAGACCAAGAGATCCTGGCCGATGACCACGGGCTTGACGGCATTTCCGCTCGAGAGAACCTTGACGTTGTTCGGGAAAGTTAATTCTGTCAAGAACATGTAGGTTGCGGTTGAGCGGTATTCTGCGACAGTCGCGTCGACGGTGATGATGTCTCCGACTGTAACATTCTTGAGAGCCTGGCTGCCGAAGACATAGATGGAATTTGAGGATCTAATGTCGAGGTTGAGTGTCGTGTCCCGAAGAAAGAATCCGGATGGCCCCTTTGCTATCACTAGACCTTTGATACCGGTCAATGTTTGGCCGACATAAGGCGAGAGAAATTTCACTCCATTGATCTCGTTGATAGTGACGGCATTCGCGAAGGCATTCAGAGCCAAAGCGGCAGCAGCAAGAGAGAATTTCATGATGGGCTTTTGAGTCAGGGGTTGATGGCTGAGTGGCTCCCAACAAAACGGAAGGGAACCAAAAGTCTTTATATCTTCAATTACCTAGCTATGCAGCCCAGCCTTGTGTCCATCGTTATCTTTCAAGACCGAGTAAGGAAACGTCCTCCGGCCACGTTTTTTGGCCACATCGGACATGGCATGGGAGCTGAACGGCTGGGCGGAGACGAGTTACTTGGCGATGGGTTCCTGCAGGTTGTTTGGCGCAATGTCGATATATCCTCTTGGCGAGCTACCCCACTAGGGAAGGTGATTTTGGATTGACAGGCATTCGGTGGGGAATTAAGCTTACCTTCTCCAGCCCAATTGAATCGGCATGCGGACGACTCCGAGAATTGCCATGGGGAGTCGATGGCTTTAGTGCGGAGGTTGCCACTTCATGGGAGAACAAAAGAGGCTGGTGAGTAGCCGATTGGTGTTCGGTAGGGAAGCCAAGAAGAGAAGCTGTATATTTGTTCGGCCCCCTTTCTGTTCCTGGAATTGTATGGATATGAGATAACGAGAGGCGAACAAGGGTATCATGATGGGCTGAGGGGAAGATCATTGAAGTTGAACCAGTGATAAGTACCTACATTCAAGCCATTATTTTAGGTGCGCCAGAGTTGCGCTTACTGCAAGGTAAAGAAGTAAAGAAGTGGAATGATTGAATCGAAAGTTGGACGCCGATGTCATGCAGCCACGCCTGGTAAATTGATACGATGCTGCACTTTAAAGTTTGATTTGACTGACCCTGGTTCTTCGGAACCGCGGTGTTGTTGAGAGACGCCCCCTTTTTCTTAGCGAGACCGGACTTATATGCGCAACTTTGATAGCAAACAACATGACCCCGACCACAGACCTGGAATTAAATGACTATTGATTTGAGAATAATCGTTTAATCACAGAGATTTGTGTAAGTGATATAAGTCAACTGTACAGTGCTCAAGTGATGACTTCTGTTTTGTTCGCTTGTTGACCTGGCCCCCATCATTTCTTCTCCGGTGCCGGCCACACCAATGCCCCGCTGCGGGGTGATGAAGTCAGAATTTTTTTCAAGGATGGTAAGTTCATAATTTTCGTCAGTATTGAGATAAGAACCTGTCGTCGTCAATCACGACACAGTTTCGCCTTCCTGGCTTAGTTGGTTAAAGCGTCGGTCTCATACTCAGTATGATCTGCTTGTGAACGAGCAGAAGTCACATGACCAAATCACGTGATCCGAAGGTCGCCAGTTCGACTCTGGCGGAGGGCATTCTCTTTTGTTTTTTTGTTATTGTTGTATGGAGTCGATAGGGAAAGCCGGAATGGTCTTTTAAAGCTATTCTAAAAGTGGTTGTTGGGTTGATTTATTTCCTACTCTTGTTGCGGGTGCCTCTTCCGAACTTCACAAGCGAGCCGAGTCTCCCACGTCAGTAACTACTGGCTTATGGGTTCAGACAAGTACAAAGTGCAAGCAGCTTTGTCTTTTTGGCTACTTTTCCGCTGCTGGCCAGATCGTGTACACTGACAGCCATTTCGCCGTTAGAGAAGAAGTGCGGGCAGGATCTTCATCGTTTGTCTGATTTATTTTCCCCAGCTGACTAAGGGCCCGCGTAGAAGTCTGTGAGCCAGCCAAAATTCATGTCCTGTCAAGCGAGTTATTATATTATATAAACAGTTTACTCGAAAGATTAAATCAGAGCTTATTTAGACCTTGGCGCTTCCTTAAAGTCAATGTACAAGAACGATTTAGAGACTCTAATTATGCTTACTCACATTCGTAGATAGCAAAGAGAGCGAAGGCTACCTACCAACCTGAGTAGTTGTCTACGCTTTACCCGAGTCGAATTTGGTATGCCTTGCTGTCTCCTCAATTTCAATTACGCTCCTAGTCTCTGAGGTCTTTCAGTTCTGGGTGGGACATCAAGATAGAAATCATCTGGTATAGCTTTAATTGAAACCTGCCTTAAAGCACTGCAGCAAGGTCTTCACATCAGAATTTGAGAAAGAACGCTTTCGCTATAACAGCCACAAGAGCACCCACCCCAGCCAAGACAGGTAGTTAGGTTCCAGGAGATTGACTCTACATATACTATCATACTAACAGCGACTCTTTAGAAGATCCACGACCTCCTAGGACTAAACCACTGATCCCTCAAACCCTTAACAAACGTCCCATCACGCACCAATACACCCCGTCTCACCAACCCATCACACCCCCCAAACTCCTCTCCCCATTCCCCCCTCCTATCCTCTAAAATCCTATTCCTCAACAACCCCCCAAACCCACTCGTCGTACTCTGAATTTCCCCCCACGCAATCCCCTCTCCCTGTCTCTTATACACAACTCACGCTGCC